AGAAGATGGGGGGCGACGGCCCCTTCTCGGGTGCCGCAGGACCCCGTCCGCCCATCGCTAAAGCGGCCCTGCTCTGCGCTCCCGTCCCCCAGCCGGCTGGCAGCGCGCGGGCGGGCGGGCGCACAGTGCCCATGCGGGTGCAGCTAGCACGACTTCGTGCACGCGGCGGCCCCAGGGCACGAGGCCAGGCGAGAGCAGCTCTGCTGCCTCGTGCACCCCCCTTCCCGCCCTCCTGCATCCGCCCCGCGGCCCCGCCCCCCGCCTGGCTTCGCCTTCCGTGCTACTGCGGCCGCGGCCGCTCGCCGTAGCCGGGCGGGAGGCGGCGACCCAAGATGGCGGCGGGCGAGGCCCAGGCGCGCTTCGGGCACTCGGTGAAGGGGCTGCTGAGCGAGAAGGTGACCGGCTGCGGCACCGACGTCATCGCCCTCACCAAGCAGGTGCTGAAGGGCTCCCGCAGCGCCGAGGTGAGCGGCAGGACTACGGGCCCCGGCACGCACCGCGCGGCGGGGGCTGCTGGGAACTGTAGTCCCTCCGGGCCTCTCGTCATTGCGGGACATGCTGGGGGATGGAGTCCCTGGGAGGTTGGTGCTTGCAATGGGAGGGGCGCGGTGCATGCTGGGAGCGGTGGTCCTGGGGGGAGGCTGGTGCCTGCAGCTGGGCAGGGCAGTGCATTGTGGGAGTCCTGCCCCTGCAGCGCCTGGTCCCCTGCCCGGGCTCCTTGGAGTGACTGGCAGGGCCCCGTGCCCGGTGCAGCCCCAGGTGTGGGCACGTGGGGCCCGCGTCTCTTGGCCCTGAGCAACACGACGCAGTCACCCCTGCCCCTAGGAAAGCAGGGCGCCGCGGCTGCCATCATCCGTCTGCTGCAAACGGTGTTCACAGAGGCTGCCAAGAGCCCAGGGCAGGCCGAGCCCCCGCCTCAGGGGAAGGCAAAACCCCCCAGTCCGGGCCAGTCTGAGCAGGGGGGAAATCCCTTCCTGCCCCAGTGCAATGTCAGCAAGACCCTCCAGCCAGGACCCTGCGGGGTCGGTGCCACAGGAGCACTGGCCCAGCCTGGCCCCAGTGCCTCTGGGGGATGCCTAACCCCCCCAACACATGGAGCAGCAGAGAGGGGAGGAATTGCCATAAAATCGTAGAGACGTTGGGCTGGAAGGGACTTCCTGAGATCCTCCCTCCCAGCCCCGTGGGGAAACCTCATTTCGGCCTCCAGAGCACAGTCCAAACCCAGTGCAGCCGATTCCCAGTTCCCCTCCAGTCCTGCCAGGCAGCAACCCCAGGGGATCCCCAGGGTGCTGGACAGCGGGGAGTCTCCACCTCTGACTGCGGCCTGCCTGCGTGTCTTTCAGCTCCTGGGCCAGGCTGCTAGGAACATGGTGCTGCAGGAGGACGCCATTCTGCACTCGGAGGACGTAAGCAGACGCTTTCTGCTGAAGCCAGGGCTATCGTGTCGTGGGCAGCGTGGACGCAAGACCACACTGCCTCCTGCTGTCTGCATGGGGGGATCTTCTTGCTGGAGCCCAGGGAGGGGGGTCCTGGTGCTGTCTCTGCTGCAATTCGCAGCTCTTAGCGAAGCTCCTGGGGGAATCAGGCCCTTATCTTCTCTGTGCCTCGGTTTCCTCCCTTACAAAATGAAGCTGGGCTCGGAGAGGGGGGGGCATTGGTATCTGCGAAGCCTCTCCACACGCGCACCGCACTGCCCTTCCCTCCACATGTAGCTCCCCCCTGGCAGAGCCCCCGAGAGAGTCACACTGGCTGCCTTTGACAGTGCCTTTGCAGGGCGAGTCTTTGCACTGCTTTGGGCCCCCCTTGCCCCGTGCTCTATGAATGCTCCTGTCACCTTGATCTAGTCTAACCGGCGCACCCGCCGGGCTCTCAGACACACGGGGCTGCAGCCCTGCCCTGTTCCACCCCCCCAGCTGAGGGTCTGCTTGAGATCCTTCAGGACTCATCCACTGTTAACCTCCCGCCGTCCCCCAGTGTTGTATTTCGGCTCCCACTGGCGGGACGCTGGTGAGATGTCGGGGGGCAGAGTGCGGTGTGCGGGCAGAGTGCGGTGTGCTGGCCCAGGGCTGTGAACCGCTATGCTCTCTCTCCTTCTAAACCTGCGCAGAACAGCCTTCACTCTCGGGGTGGCAGCTGCAGTCAGTCGGATCTCAGCTGCCAGGGTCAGAGCACCGAGGCCAGATGTAGCTACCCCAGTAAATGTCACTGAGCAGGCGGGCAGGGGCATCGACTCGGCTTGGGCAGCACACAACCCGGCCAGCAGCTCAGCTCTGGTGTTGGCAGGAGTGATGTGCATCTAGCCCTGCTGAACACGGGCCGCTTAGACTGAATCCAGATGTTGGCCCAGTTCCTCGCCTGTGCCTTCTCCTCGTGGACACATGGCAACACAGGCAGGCAGGGGTGGATCCCATGAAGGGGTGCGATTGCACTGATGCACCCCCTGGATATGCCCCGCGGGCAGGTGGGTTTAAAACAGTGCCAGGCCCACGCTGCTCCTGTGGAGCTGAGAGCAAAGGCCCCAAGGCCACATTGCAACCTGAAGGGCTTGTGCGATGAGGAGCCCATTGGTGTCTCTGCGGTGCTGGCCCGGAGCTGCTGGGGGTGGAAGGGACCATGGGAGCTGCTGTGGAGTGGGGTGATTCTGCCTGGAGATCTTGTGTCAGAGAAGGTGTCTGATTGTCCGCTTTGTCCTGCAGAGCCTGAGGAAGATGTCCATCATCACCACGCATCTGCAGTACCAGTAAGTGGGGGCTCTGGACCTTGCGGGGCTCCGGTTCGCTGTGCTTGGGGCCTGCTCCCCAGACAGGGCCAAAAGGGGTGCCACAGAGTAACGGAGGGCGCTTGTCCCCAGCTGTGTGGAGCTGGATCAGCCTGTCCCAGGAGTGGCCGAGGCTCCCCCATCACCAGCACCACATGCTCCTGCTGAGCCTGGATGGTGCCCCCTTAGCAAAGGCAAAAGAAACCACCCCAGTCCCCCTCCCCATGCTGATCCCTTGTGTCCTTCCCTCCTCTGGCCGTTGGTCATCAACATTTGTGCAAGGCAGGAGCATGCAGCTGCTGGCAAAACAGCTCCCTGTGACCCATAGCCCTGCCCAGGAGGTGCCTGGCAGCTGCGGGGCAGCTCTGAGAGCTGCTGGATCCCAGCCTCGCTCTGTCTGAGCAGAGGTGTTTCCTCTCCCCTCCCCAGCCCGGCTCTCATGTGCACGGCCAAAGCTGGGGCCATTAGGAGCGGCCTGAAGGGTTTGGCTCCTGAGCTGTCAGTCAAGCCCATTTTGCAGCCCCACTGCCCTCTCTGACCATGCTGTGTCCCTTCTCTTCTTTCCTAGGCAGGAAGCCATCCAGAAGAAGTGAGTATGCCCTGTTGTCCTGATTTCCCCTACCTCTTTTGCTCACCCCCATTGATGTGCCCTGCCCAGCAGGGTTTGTCGGGCACCTGGATGGGCTGTCAGCAGGTAACACTGCACTGCCGTGGGACCAGCATCTCGGAGGTGCCCCGGTGCTGACTTCTCCCTGGGAGAGATTGAAGGAGAGCCCCAAGGGCTGTTTCCAAGGCTGGGGAGCCCCTTGGGAGAGCTCAGGGGTCTGCCGGAGCAGCAGTGCCAGAGGGGGTGACCTTTTCTCCAGGCAGCCGCTGGCTACATTTGATATGGGAGCCGCAAAGAGAGGAGTGACATTATCGAAGCCACCAGCAAGGAAGTGTCTCTGCAGCAGCCGCCTCCTGATCAGGCCAGGGGGGCGATCTTACTGTCCAGGGCCAGGGAAGGAGTCTGCTTTCACAGAGACACAAGATGGGGAGAAATGAGGCAAAGGGGAATTTGAGCATTGCAGAACCAAATTTTTTGGGGGATTTTTTAAGCCTGGTGTGAATGCGTTCATGGGCATTTCCGCAGGACGCAGAACAGCAGACTCTGGGTTGCAAAGAATATTGTCCCCTAGATTTAGGTTTTGACGCAGACGTGCACGTGTGTGGGTGCATGTACCTGCACATGCGCACAGCCTGAGCTGGCTGGAGAGTCCTCGGGGATCCAGCACAGGCCTCGGCACTTCGTGCTGGCAGCTCCTTATCCCCTGCTGCAGGTTCAGCTCAGCCCTGCCCTGAGTGGGTAGCACCTTCCCTTCCCGTGGAAGATCACACCCATCGGGCCTGTTCTCTGCCTGCCCCACAGCGGGTGTTCAGTAGATCCTGCAGGCGCCTGGGATCATAGTGAATCCTTGCCTGCCCAGCAGGGTTCGTAGCTTGGAGGCTCGCAGAGGCCTGAGCTTGGGCTGCTCTGCCCTGGTCCCAGATCGCTGGTGCTCGTGATGCCCTGGGAAGTGGGCACATGGTCCTCTGGACCTTTCCCCTCTCTGGTAGCTCCCTTCTCTCCCCTGCAGAGCCCAGAGGGCTTGACTCAGGTGACCCTGGAGGCCCCTTCCAGCCCTGCAATGGCAGGCGTGGGGAGCCGATCTCGCCTGACCCCTCTCTCCTCTCCACTCCTTAGCGTCGAGCAGTCATCCAACCTGCAGGACCAGCTGCGGCACCTTCTCAAATGAAACAAGAGCCCTGAACTTCTGAGACCGCCGCCGCCACGGTCACTGCTAGGATGTGCCGTGTTGTGGGAGCTGCTGATGCCCTTGCTCCTCCTGCTTCGGTGTTGAGGTCGCACGCGGAGCTGAGCTGGAAGGCGGCTGGGGGCACCCAGCCCCTCTGCTTCTCACACCCCCTGCCATGGTTAGCTGCTCACTTGCATTCAGTTTTGAGTGGACTTTACCCTGCCCTCCAGTGCTTGGTCTCTTCCCTGCGCAGACCACAGCCTGAAGAGCTGCCCTCACCTCCTCCAGGCTGCCATGGCCTGGCTAGCGACGCCGCAGCCACGTGTTTAATATGAGCAGCCGGCTCAGCCCCTGTGTCTCCCATGGCCCCTCCACGCTCGTTGGCGGGGGGGGAGTTACACTCCTCCCAGCTGTGCTGGACCTGGTTTTTGCAGACCCGTAAACCCTTCAGACGAGGTTACACGCCCCACCCTGTCGTGTGCAGGGCTGGCCCTCGCAACTAGGCACCCCCATCTCCATCTCCATCTCCGTGGCCTGCTAGCCAGAGAGACAACCAGCCACCTCTGCTCTGTGGCAGGTGCCAATGCTCCGGTGATTATTTTACAGGTGGATGCAGGTATTTAACGTGGGCCAGGGTCTTTATAATTGGGCGTCCAGGTGTACAGAGGAGCCGCGGTTTCTGACATAATAAATCTCTGTAGCAAGTGCCGCCGTACGCTGTCGTCCTGGCTTCCCATGTGCTCTGTGCAGCCGGGGCGTGGACCGCGGGCCCTCGTGCCAGCACATCTGCTCTCCGTTTTGGCCTTGAGCCGCATTCCTCCTCTTGTGCGGCTCTTGATTACGCAGCCTTGGCTTCGTTATGCAACTCTGTACGGAATCAGTAAACTATTCGTGCCTCCAGCTGCGCGGGGCAGGTGCGCGGCTTCGAGAGATGCAATCGCCACGCATGCCCCGTTGAAGCCGGCTGCCATGTTTCCAGGCACCGCGCACGGAGGCAGGACGGGCTCCCATCGAAATCTGCCCAAGCATTTTGGTGACTCGCCGGTGGTCCGGCTCCACGGTTTCTCCCCTCCCCCAGCCTCAAGTGGCGTCTTCGTCTCTTTTATTGAGCAGGGAGCTGGGCCGGCAGGGTCCCTCGTGCGGTGTGGTGCCTGGTTTCAGGGGTTCCCCCTGCCAGCTGAGGGAGGCATAAAAAGCATCTGGATTTCCTTTATTCTTCTCAAGGGGCTCTGGTTCCTCCTGGATTTCGTATCCCTCCCTCCTGCCCCCCGCAGCATGTGTCCTCAGTTGTTCCCAGCACGGGGGACGGCTGACCCTGGCTGGGGCCACCCGAGGGGGCCTGGACCTCGCTCCGTCCTTCTGCGCTGGTTGTGGGGGCTACTCGCCCCCCCTCCCCCTGCTTCGGGCACCGGAAGTCCCGGGTTAGGGTTAGGCCCAGTGCCCTGTGGGGGGCGGGGTTAGAATGTTGAGACGCCCCGCCCCCACGCTCTAGCCAATCCTGGGCGGGGGGCGAGGCAGGGCAGAGTCCCCAGACAGCCAGGCAGTACAGGAGGGCCCGATCCGGTGGGGGGGGGGGG